TTGTCCTTCTCAAGCGGCCTTTTGTGTTAGTGCGGCCTTTCCGGGTCGTCGTTCAGTCCAATCTGTGTTTGCCTGACGCCGTCTCTGCCTGTCACATTTTCCTGAAGTTCGGATCCCGGCGAACTTCACGTTTCGGTGGGTGCGTTGGTTCAGCTTCAGACAGGCACTTTCAGTACGGATCTCGGAGAACTTCGCGTCCTGAACTGTCCGGGTTCCTATTGCTAAACGGACGACACTGCCCCGTCCAACGCGGACTTTGTGCGTCACCACCCGTCCATTCCCGGTCGGGTGGACATCCGTGTTCCGGAAAAAACCGACGTGGTTGTCGCCCGGCTGCATGAAGCGTGTGCCCTTGTAAAGAATGATCTCGTTGCAGGTGAGAGGTCATTGCTGGTCTTCGCGTTAGAAGTTCGTCGGGATCCGAACTTCGAGGTCCTCGGATAGCGTCATGTGACCGACGTGTTGAGGGCAAGGTGTGCCTCCTCTGTTTTTCGCTTGCGTTGTGCTTTGACTACGATTTGACGCTCGCTGGTGTTTTATTTGCTTTCCGTTGTCGTCCGCAGACAATATGTCTTCGTCCAGGGGCGAAGGGGAGCCTGCAGCGACCTCCGGGATGGGATCTGGGAAAGATTCTACAAAACGGTCGTCCACGACCTCGAGGACGTGGTCCGACCACGCTAGGTCGAAATGGTTCGTTGACTGGTGTTGTGGTGATGCTACGGACCTAGTCCAACAACCGTGTGGTCCTGTGATCTTCGTCGAAGCCAACAAGCGTCGCAGGGTTCTGGGGTCTGTCTTGCGGTGGGAGAATGCGAAAGGCAGTCGTCGACGGTTTTACATGAAACATGTGTACGGTTCGAAGGGGAACGTCGTCGCCGGTGCCAAGGGGGCAGTTCTGGACATGTGTCTGTTCGAGGGGTTCGGAGCGGTTGCTGCGAACACCCCGTTCTACAACGACCTCCGGCGGTAGGGCGGGTTTGTTTTGGGTCGAGAGTTCCTCGACCTGTTGGAGGACAAGGGCATCGCCCTCGACGTCCCTTGCGAAGTCGGTCCCGACCTGGAACTGTCGATGCCTTTGCAGCCGTGCGGCGGTTGTGAGTCGAGTGGGGCAGCGGGGGAGGGGGGTGATCTGGGTTTCGGGGAGGCTACACATGTGCAGCGGGAGGATGCCAGAGGTCAGTTTGACGACAGCGAAGATGAGGCGACACCTCGTCCGCCGTTTTCGCCGTCGAGGGAAAGAGACAGGTTCGTGCTGTCCATACCTGGGGTCCGGCAACAGACCGCAGTGGATCCCGGAGAAGAGGGAGTCCTGTGTGGGTCTGATTTGGATCCCGCCGAGGGCCATGGCGCGGAAGGCGAGGCCGTGGGCGGGGAGGGAGTGCAGGGCACTCCCCAAAAAAGGAGGGGAGAATGTCAAGAAGAGTTGGTGGGCTCTTCGAAGAAACAGAAGACCAAGACCCCGAGGACTGCGGGAGAGAAACGGAAGGGGAGGGGGGTGGAAGAGGGCTACCTGGGTAGCAAACGTCCAGCTTCGAAACATAAACAGCCTGAGTCGGGACCTTCTTCACCATGGCCTGCCATTGACGTGGACGCTGGGTACTTCCTGGAGTACAAAGACGGCGTCAGGACAAGGCAGGAGTTTGAGATCAGCCCGACTCAGATCGTTGACATAAGGGAGTGGGAGGATCTTTACAACCAGCGGTCGCTAGATCCCGTCCTCGTGGAAACGATAAGGGAAGCAATATGGTTTGCGTTCGAAAATAAAGAACAGACATACGAGTTGCCGGTCTTCAAGCTCGCACCACTGGGGCTTCAAAAACCAACTCCTGGGACCAAGGCACAACGTCTGAAGCCAGAGGAGTGGAAGGATGAGCTGGCGGGAGAATACTACTACTACCCGGTGTGCGGGCAACACAACGTGGCTGCAGCCAGGTCGCTGATCGGCAGCGAGGTGGCCAAGAAGTACAATTTCGAGCGGTGGCCGGCACGGATGGTGTACTTTTTCGACGATGACTTCGAAGGGTATTTTCTTGTTAGTTCAGAGGACAACAAGAAGGACCTGAAGGCGTCTCCCAAACAGTTGAAACTTTCTATGAAAGACATTCGATGGTAGTGGAAGCATGACGGCTGCCCAAGAGCTGTGATGGGGAACCCTAGCGGGAAACAAGATCAGGTCCGGACTTGGCGTAAGTTTTGTACAACGACGCTCCATAAGGCGCCTCAAAACAGTTTGTGGCTTCTCGCGGATCAAAAGGAAGAGGAGGCCATTAAGAAGCAAAATGATGCCCTGCGTTCTTACTTACCTCTGGCGATGGCCGGGAAAAATGTATGGAAACTGGCCAGGGAATTTTTCGAAAAATGGGAGACGGGCAGATTGTTGAGCCACGATGGGGCGAAGTGGACCGTCAAAAAGAAGAAGGTCAAAAACGTAAAGTCTGGGGCGCCTACATCCACAACGACAAATTGGGCAGAACGGAGGTGGTGTACAAAGTCCGCGTGGACCCGCCGAATAAAAAGAGCAAAAAGGAGAAAGAGGAGGGCGATTGGTTCGTGCAAGTGCCAGACCCGGACGCGCATTGTTGGAAAGCAATGGAATCACTCATGGACAATGAGAAGTGTCGCGTTCTGAAAAAGGTGCTTGCTTGCGAGGTCGTTTGGGTCCAGGCCGGCTCCCCGTCGTTGGCGAAGTTAGAAAAGCTCAGCGTGCAGGACATGGTTCAGCTGGTGAAGTGCGACCGCGTGCTGGTCCGGTTGTGGAATTACTACCAATTCAAACACGAGAAGAGGTCGGACGCGGACTGGATCCTAAGGTACCCTTTCCTGAAATCGAGGTCTGCCGTGTTCAAGAAGTTTGAAGGTCAGGGATTGGATGACGAGTTGTGGGATAACAGCAGGAAACACGTTTCCGACTCAGCGATGTTCAAGGACTGCCCGCTATACATGGGTTGCGACCACGACAACTCGATTGAGGTGACGGAGAAGTTGGCGGGCCACAAGAAGTTGTCCGTCGACTGGAGAAACAAGGTTCTCTCCGTGTTGAATGGAAGCAGACTGAAGAGCCGGGAAGTCGCACTTGCCGAAGGCGTCGTTCACATTAAATGGAAAGACACGGGGGACGTAACATCCATCGCGTCGTTCGCCAACGACCCTTTAGAGGCAGACATCAGGGGCGCAGAGATGAAGGAGGCAGTGGCTGCCACAAAGAGTCACACGTTCGTCCTAGATCTGTGTGAACCGGTAGACCTCAAACTGTGGAAGCCCCAAGCGTGGGAGACGTTGAATTTCTATCTTCAGACGTGGTGTCCCTCGCATTGGACTCTCGTTGTTTTCGTGCCGCGGCAACACAACCTGTCGTTTCTCGCCAGCATGCACCATCTTTCTTTCGTCAAGCTGTTGGAAGGGAAGTGGGTTCGGAAAGTGCAACAAAAAAAAAGCTTCCCCGTTGGGAACAATTTGTACACGGAGGAAGATCGCATGTACATCCTCTTCAAGGGTGACGATCTGCGCGTCAACACGTCCCTGGTCTACGAGGGAAACCTGCCCACGGGTGCCGCTGCTGCGGTGGGATTGCCTCAGAGGGTCACCCAGACGGATGTGTCCGAGATTCCTTTCACGCCTTGCGACTGGTCGCTGGTGGCGCCTGAACGATAGGGCAGCGTCTATGGGGATATGGAACGCAATCCGACCCAATTCGTCGGTCTTCTTGATTTTCTTGGCAAGAAGGAAGAGGGTGTTGTGTTCCTTGGGAAACCGCACGCGCGAAGCGTCTGGGAGCTTCTGAAGGCCGGCCGACACGTTGTTGCAATGGAAGGGAACTCCGACCTCTTGCAATTCACGATGCAGGTGGTGAAAAGTGAGGTCAATTCGAGTGGGTACAATTGTGAGTTCATGGTCGTGAGGCCAACACGGGATAAGGTGTGGAGCAAGAAGACGGATATGTGGTTCAAGTTGAGCGAGAGGAAGAGGAACAAGATATACGATTTCTTGTTCCTTCAAACGCGTCCGAGGAGGGACACTGACGCCGAGTACATCCGACGGAAGGACCACATGTTGGCACTGCTCGACAACTACCACTTCGCCTCCCGCATGAACGCGAAGACGTTTATCCAAAGGCTGCAGTCGCTGTACTTCGTGGAGTCTGAGGAGCAGTTGAAGTTAGCCAGTTATGCTTCCCTGATCTCCACTGACGACGAGGAAGCCATAGGTGTGGAGWTTGTCGCCAACGCGAAGGAGGAGGAGAGCGACACGGAGAGCATCGACCTGCAGTACGACCCGCCTCCGGCGGACCACGGCCGAGGGTCCTCGTCGGCCGGTCCGTCACCAAGCGCTGCAGCCCTCGTGTCACCATTGGCCAAACCGGCGCAGGGCACCATGCCGATGAAGTTGCTGGAGAGACTTAGAGCTCTGGCCGCCCCCCCGCCCGCTTTGCGTCCCGGGTCCGTTGTCCCGCCCGATCATCCGTCTTGGAAGGATGACAACATCCACTTCCTGCTTGAACCGCAACATCATTCACCTGAGCAGGACTGGGGCCATGACATGGTTTGGCATCCGGGAGTCATCCAGCCAGCGATACGAAATGGCGAGTGGGTCATGGTCGTGGCAATCCCAGGCGCGGGATGGGTGTCATTCCCACGCGAGTCGAAGTCCAACTTCCTGCACCTCGCGAGGATTTCGGTCCTCCAGAAAGTGAAGGTCGAAAATGACACTTTAGCACCCGGCGACCTGTCCCTCATTTCCACTATCGGTCGACTGTTTAACGAGCTTCAGGACAAGTGCTGGTTGGAATTGACGGAGGACTACTATGAGCTCGACACGAGTCCGTCGAAGGGCGTGGTGGACTGGAAAGTGCCCCCTCCCAGTGGGCCGGACGGTGGTTTCGGGGGGGGGTCACCTGGAAGCGGAGGGGATGGGGGTGGCGACACAGGGGGTGGCAAAGGAATCCCACCTATGGGGGAGAGAGGGTCTCACGGCCGCAACACGACACCGGGAGGCAGCGCCGGGGTGGCGGGTTTCGCCGTCGACCGGACTCCGTCAACAGGCACCCGGCCCGAGCACACGACACACTCCGCCGACCCCCAGACTTCGTCTGTGGGCTCAGCGAGGGTGGCAGCCTTGGTTGCTCTGGGCATTCGCTCGGCCGGAAAGCCGAAGTCCGCCGGGATCCGAACTACATCGGGTGAGGAGCCACCAGAGCGGTCCGGAATGCGAAGCTGCTCGGGGTCGGGGGATCCAAGCACGGATCGAGAAATTCGCAGCATTGCGGCGCGGGACGGAGACGTTGGAACGGTGTTGCCTGCGCGGGAGCGATGACCGCAAGGATTGCAGCGGGAGGCTGCAAGTGCAGGGTCCGGCGACACGGAGACCACGAAGTCCGCCGAGATCCGAACTTCGTCGGGCGGGGGGTGTCGGCCAGGGATTGTCGTGCCGTTGAGAGGGGCAGCATGCACGGGGACGGAAGGGCGGTCCTCGCGATTCGGCACGGGTACCGCGGAAGGGGACGAGTTTTGTGGGAGGGAAGTAGGGGAGGAAACGGAGGAACAGAAGGGAGCGCAAGAAGGGGAGGAAGAAGGGGAAGAAGAGGTGGAAGGGGAGGAAGCGGGAGAAACGGAGCTAATTGATTTGTTTGAAGGAAGGGAGGGTGCCGGGTCTGGAGAGGACGAAGTGGAACACAGTGAGGACGATGCCGGATCTGGAGAGTCGTCTAACGAGTTTGGACAACTGTAAGGAGAGCATCACGAGGATGATGTCGACGACGATGCCACGACAATAGAGATGGAGACACAAGTGGTCAGCAGCCTTTCCGCAGAGCCTGAAGATTATGCGGTCCGGCCACTGACGTCTGCTGTCGACTTGCAGCACCGGTTCGACGAGGCTTCCATCGCTATCAGCCCGTCTGAAAAAAGTCGACGTATAAGCATCGACGAAGTTATCGACGGTATCCTCGGCGACCACAACGTGTCTGCCCTTCCGTCCGCAACTGCCAACGTCGCATCTTCCGTGGCAGCTGCCCTCGCTTCGTTGTCGCTGAAGTCTCTGGTGTTGCAGGCCACCCTTGCCGCCGAAGGGGAAGGCGAGTGCGGTGGAGGACAGCATTTGATGTCCCCAAAAAAATCGAGGTTCGGCGGTCAGGCTCTCGACGTGCTCGCTTTGCATGCGCCAAATTCACCATCGAAGGAGCGGAGAGAGAAACAGACTGGTAAGCCTTGAAGAACGCCTGCGCATCCGGATATCGCCGGATTACAGTCCGCGCTATACACACGACGACTGTCCACATTGTCTGTGCATACGGGAAGTTCCGGGTGTCGGCATGCTACAGCCAGAAGCCCTTCCTACTCCAGCTCGTCGGCCTGTCTGTGACTCGGTCTGGTTGCTAGTCGAGGGCGGCGAAAACTTCGTCCAAAACCTTACACTCCATCCAAGGAAGGATCTGACCTGGCTGAGGAAGTGGCCAAGGTGCTAAGAAAGTGGCCAAGTACATGGACTGACAGTTTTCCCTTCTCGGAAGTAGTGCCGGTTTTAGTCCGCCAGGATCCAAACTTCCTTTGTCGATGCGTGATGTGGTCAGTCTCAGTGGGGCTGATGTGTTTAAAAGTCCGCCGCAGTCCGAACTTCGGGGATTGCTGACCTCCGGCTTCTGTGAGTTGTGGTGGTTTTCCTTTGCGAAGTGCGGGGGGTGATAAGCTCGAATGTTGCAGTCGTTTTGTTTTCCAGTCGCACAACCGCACCTAGGTGCACATGATCACGCGAGATCAGGGTCCTGTGGTCAGAGAGGTCCTGCTTGACTGTAGGCCAAGGTGCTAAGAAAGTGGCCAAGTACATGGACTGACAGTTTTCCCTTCTCGGGAATAGTGCCGGTTTTAGTCCGCCGGGATCCGAACTTCCTTTGTCGATGCGTGATGTGGTCAGTCTCAGTGGGGCTGGTGAGTTCAAAAGTCCGCCGCAGTCCGAACTTCGCGGATTGCTGGCCTCTGGCTTCTGTGAGTTATGGTGGTTTTCCTTTGCGAAGTGCGGGGGTGATTAGCTCGGATGTTGCAGTCATTTTGTTTTCCGGTTGCACAACCGCACTTGGGTGCACATGACCACGCGAGATCAGGGTCCTGTGGTCGGAAAGGTCCTGCTTGACTGTTGCGTCTGTACGAATGTATGGTTCTCATTTTTCGTTTTGTCTTTCTTCTGTTGTACAGGGGTGGTGTCATCTCGAACACGGAGGTCCTCCAAATATCCAGAGCACATATTGCAGAAAGTCCCCGGGTTGAGTAAAAAACACAAGGATATGTTAAAGGCATCAGGGGTTGATATCAAGATCGGGAAGAACGAGTACACCGTTGCCATTGAGAAATGTCTTTCCCTTCTTGCCCCAGACAAAGGGACATATCCACGATCTGTGAGTAGGGGTCAGGCCATGTATGAGAAGTACTTAGCAACGCGTCATGCACCGGGGGACAATGTCTAGAACTCCGTTTCTCACTACACCACGTGTCCTTTGCTCGATGTTGTGCAGTGCGGGCAACAAGTGCAGCACGCGGGGAAAGTTTCGCTGCGACGATTGCGCCTCTGAGCTTCCGGGTTTTCGATGACATTGTACGAGGCTCGGTGCCGTCTAACACTATTCTCTCTATACTGGGCGATGGTCAATTTCGGATTGCAGCAAAAGATCTCCTCACCCTCGTGCATGTCAATGGTAGGGTGAATGATGAGGTGGTCATTTTTTATATGGCGTTGTTGGGGTCGACCGCATGTGGGTCACGTGACATCTCTTCAGGCCTTCAAGTCTTCAACGTTAATTCGTTCTTCTTCAGTAAACTGCGACTTCAAGGACACGGTGGGGTGCAGAGGTGGGCTAAATATATAGATTTGCTTCGTTACGATATTATCTTTGTTCCTGTCCACAAAGATGATGATCACTGGATCCTCGTTTCCGTCAACATGAGAGATGATGTTCTCGAAATTTTTGATTCTTTTCCTCGCATTGTAGCTGATTCTAGTTTTTACCTTAGTGTTTTCGGGTTGATTGTGCAGTATTTGGAACGTCAAACATCACATAGGCGGTCGGGTAGGAATTGGAAGTCCATGGTGGGAAATGTTGTGGTGGATGGAGTTCCGAGACAAGTGGATGGAGCAAGCTGTGGTGTGTTCATGTTGATGTATGCGACGTTGTTACAACATGGAGATCGACCGTCTTTCCAGTTTTCTTGTAAAGATATTCCGCTTCTTAGACGACAATTAACATCATGTGTCTTAGAACATCGTTGTCTTTGATGAATTTGATTGACTTGGGAAGTTTTTTTTAAGGTGTTTCATTCGTTGATCGTTAAATTTCGTGAATCGAGACATTATTCAATTGTCCTTCTGCCAGAGGCATTGCTTTCTTTTATCGTTCCGAGTTCGCATTATCTACGGCAAGCTCAATGCATGTCCTGCGTCATGTATGAACGTTGTAATCTATGTCACGTAATGTTCCATGTTCCGAATTCTATTCAAGTTGAAGTATTGTGTTCCATGTTTTGAATTTTGTTCAACTGGAAGTGTAAACATGATTGTGAAACTGGTTGGTGGATGAATGAGAAATCTCATCTTATATGAAATTCGTCAGTGGATGCCCAAACCTTCTTTGCATAACCATTTGAAATGCGGATATTCATCGCGATGGAGCACAATTTAATCTAATTCAATCTAATTACATTGCTAATTTTGTTTACAAAAGTTCAACAACTATGGATGTCAGCAAACTTTCGCATTTGGGGCGACTGGGCGGGCATGCCCATGTACAAACACTGCAGTAAAAAATGAATTCGTAAGAAAGAGGACAGTGTCACAATATAGTTACTGTGTTTTTCATCACATTTATGAAATTGAAGTTTGACAAGTTAGGATCACAGCACAGTTCCGCACAGGGTTCCGTTTGGCGTGCCAATCGTTGTTCGTTTCTGAAGTTTGACTAGTATGGATCCCAACACACTTCCCCACAGGATCACCAACATGTTTTTGATGTTCAACAAGTAAGGATCCCAACACACTTCCACATTTGGGATTTYATTTATGAAGTTTCACAAGTATGGATCTCAGCACGCTTCTGCATGTGGTGGCGGGTTTTTGATGTTCAACAAGTAAGGATCCCAACCCCTGGATGGGCATGCCTATGTTGCTTAGGCTGCAGCCAAAAATTAATTCGTTAGAAAGAGGACACAGTATAATGTCCTATTTTAACGAATAACGTGTTCAGCCATATGTATCGACTGTTTCCACATCCGATTCGGGTGGAGAAGAAAAAATAACGAAGATGACAACCAGTCTGCTGTGGGGGACAACGTTGATACGCCATTGGCGGCTTCGCCATCTTTTAATTCCCCCTCTTTTGCTACCCCCTCAAGGAGAATTTGGCTTAATCTGGGACAGGCATTTGCCCTAGTCACTTTGCAAACCGCCCTTGTTCTGGCAGGAACCTACGAGGTCCTCACATAGAAGTTAATGATAAAACCGCTACCCCAGCTCAGTGCAGTCAATGCCTGTGAAATGTCACTCGATCATCCATCCACAACGACAAGTAAGACAACTCCTGCTTTTAATTTATCCACTTGTAGAACAGGTGAAGCAGGACAGCTGTAAGCCTGTTTATGCCAAACAGGACCTTTCTTTGTGCCCGGTGGGCATTGCTCGGCACGGTGGCATTTAGGGCAGAACCCAACGGATCGACAAAAGACCTTAAGTGATTGGATGGCCTACGGGTGGCCAGTGGACCAGCTGGCAGCTGAGAGAATTGAATACAAAGAGTGGATGCATGCAACGAACTGAGGAGAAACCGCCATGATGTACATTTGTTGCCAGTATTAGAACTTGTAGGGCATGCAAAAGTGTCAAGATGTCAACAATGGCCTGGAAGTGTTAATCATGACACGGAAATGGAAGAGCTAATCATAGCCTCATGCGAGTGCCAGTGAATGCTTGACGAATGTGGCAATTCGTGCCTGATGGAGGAGCCATTCGGGGCCCGATGGAATTGCCAGCCATGGCTTGATGACAGTGTAATCATGGCATGACGAACATGCTAATCATGGGTTGATGGAAGGCCCGATCAAGGCCTAATAAAAGCACCGATTATGGCTTTATGAAGCTTGGAAAGGGTGCTGACTGAAGTGTCACTGCAGACTGAACATGTTAAGCCAGTCCCTTTTGTACGCTCTCATCGGAACACCTGACTTTAAAAATGAAAAAAATGGCGTCCACATTCTCTCTCTCTCTCTCTCTCTCTCTCTCTCTCTCTCTCTATATATATATATATATATACATATATATATATATCTATCTATCTATCTATCTATCTCTCCATCCACACAAACGTGGCCAACCTTGCATTTTCTATTATATTGTCTATCTGTACTCTTTCGTTATGGTTGGTTTGTTATGGAGGAAATGAGAGAGAGAATTTGGGGTGCTTTAACAACAAACACACACACACACACACACACACACACACACACACACACACACACACACACACACACACACACACTGTTCATGATGTCTGTGTGGTGCATAATATGGTCTATTGGCGATGACAGACATTCGTTGGAGTAACTCTGTGGCTCAGCAGGGCAGGTGCCACTGGTGGGAACCAACACTCTATGGGGGTCACTCGTGATGTGAGTAGGTGATGTGCCCCTTTGCTCCGTGTTGGATGTGTAGACTGCCTTGTCTGCACTCCGCTGCTGACATGCTGCTTTTCCCGCTTGCATCCCATGTCTTTCTTTGCAGTGTGGTGTGGCTGTATTT